CACCTATGCTCAACCCAGTAAATGTCATGGAAAACAAGATCAAATCTTGAAATCAGCCAGAGAAAAATAATATATAACACACTATGGAGGAACTTCATTAATCAGCCAACTTCTTAGCAGAAACTATGGAAGCCAGAAGACAGTGGAACCACACTGAAGCATTCTGGTCCCAATTAGGAGACAAAAACCACACAGTAGTTTAAACTAGGTTAGTTTAATATAAAGAACTGTTAATGATGACTTTTTAAAAAGACTATAAAAGGAAACTCTAGGACTGAGGGAGTGTCCCTAAGGAAGGGCAAATTTGGAGCTGGTTCAGACCTCCTTAGAGATGTGGTTTGGCCCACCAGATGGCAGAGCTGGCCTGAAGTTGCTAGATAAGGAAAAGGTGGAGGAAAAGGTGCTTAGCAACTGGTGATGTGAGTATGTGTTGGGAGCCCAGCTGCTTGTGGGGGCAGGAGTCCTGCAGTGCATGGGCCACCACGGGGGCTGTGGTTTGGGGGTCAAGATGGCTGGAGAAAGGTTTTCACTAGGTTAAGGCTGCAAAATCACAGCGGGATGAACCCATGACTGGAGCAGATTCCACCTGGGCTCGCCACACCTCAACCACTGACCCTCCTTGCAGGTGAGCCTCTTCCTCCTGCAATGTCTCACCCTCTACTGAAAAATGTTAACATCATACTCACTTGGAAGGAGAAAATTAAAGGAACTCCTTTATCACAGAGTACATATTGAGAGGTGCATCTAAAGCCTAGAAAGATTCAAATAATCCAGAAGGTAGGAGAGGGAGAATAGAGGACTAAAACTCAGAGACAATAGAAATAAAAATAGTAAAATGGTAGACTTAAATTCAGACATAGCATTAGTTAAGATGGCCAGAATCAATTAGTTTTCAAAGACCCATGCACCCCCTCCTCTCATGATGAACATTCTGGCTTCACCTGTTTGATGGTCTGAATATCTGACCCCCTGCCCAGTCTTCACCCCAGCCCCAAGATGGCTGGGCCCATTTAAAATGGGTGTCAGTGTGAAGTGAGTCATAACAGCAAATGGGCCTGAGGCCGGCTCCCTTGGAGGTGGGCACAGTCATTGTCCCCATATCACAGAGGAGGAACCTGAGGCCTGGAGAGTCCAACATACTATGTGTCTTACTTATTTATGTTGTTTCTGATTTGCCTCCCCCATTAAACTATGAGCTGCCTATGGGTGGGGATATTGTCTCTTTTGTTTGTTCGTGAATCCTCAGTGCCTAGAATAGTCCACACAGTAGGTGGTCAATAGATGTTTATGAATGAATGGATGGATGGGTGAATGAGATGGATGATGGACTGACTGGATGGATGGATGGATGGATGGATGGATGGATGGATGGATGGAGCCCAAGCTTCAGAACTTGGAGATGGCAGCTTCAGGGTCTGAATTGGTCCATCCTAGGGTTTGGGGTTTCATCAACCACAAGGTTCAGCCGTTTTGATTAATTCAATCAGAATGAGCAAACAAACAGATACGAGTGAGAGAAATGGGATTACAGGGTATGGGAAAGAGGAATAGGAGCCCCGGACACATAAACTGAGTGGCCGGCTCAGCAATTTTGAATAAGCCCCGCTGAACTTCAGGTTCTCTTTGCCACATGATCTAAGACCACTTTCCCAGGCTCCCAAGGAGATATGATAGACTCTCCAGGTTGGGTCCCCATGCAGACAAACCCATCATCAGGCCTTTAAAGGACTTTAGTACCCCTGTTCTGAGGCGCTGAGGAGCTGACCGCCCCCCCCCCAGACAGATCTGGAGGGCCCAGGGAGATTCTGAGGACACTGGGGGCCAGGGAAGAATGACCAGGTCTCCATGTACCCCCCACCAGCCCTACTCACCTGCCCCCGAAGCTGAACCCACCAGCCCGAATGGCCAGCCTTGGGGCCCTGGTGCCACAGTGGCTTTGTGACTCACAGCCAACTTCCAGCCAATCACCACTGGCTCCTGGGAGAAGATTCTAGAAGGCAAACTCAGGGGTAGCGGATCAGGACCCAGGTCAAAACTGTGGGTCATAGTGGCTGCTGTATTGCCTGCCCATTCTGAGCAGAAAGTTAGGGCTCTGAGCACAGAGGGGATCCCAAAATCTCTACCATGTGTCTGGAAGCAGCCTCAGTCTCTCATCCTTTGGGTATTTGCTGAGCACCTACTTTGGGCTGGGACCTGATCTGGGCCTGGGGACACAACTCAAGTAATTTAGGGGTGTGAAACTGCTAGGAAGGGACCAAAGCTGGGGTGGGATGGGCTGAGCTCCACAGGGAGAAGTTGGCTGTGGGAGAACTGGGGGAAGGGCATTCCAGGTGGAAGGCACAGTATAAGCAAAGGCCCTGAGGTGGCGACAGCTGGGCATAATGAGGGGACACGGAGGAGACTGATATGGCTGGAAGGGAAAGAGAAGAGGGTGGGGAGGGGTCACAGGTGGGGCCTTGGAGAGGAGTTCGGGAGTTTGGGTTTTATTGAGAAGGTGCCTGCAAGCCATGAAAGGGTTTAGAACAAAGGAGGTTCTGACTTACTTCTTAAAAGGCCAGACTCTATTTGTGTCTGAAAACTCCTTAGGGTGGGGCTGGGCCCAAGGCCCCTCGAGATTCACACACACACAGAGCCTGGCAAAAATGGGCTCTGACTCCGAGCCTCAGTCCTGGAGAGGGATGTGAGGCCACCATCCCTGGTCAATTCCTGGAGCTGGGCCTAGGCCTGGTGTGAATCACTGCTGGCAGGGCTGGGGCTGACACACACCTTGGCCTCAGCTCAGCAGGGTCCTGCCAAAGCCACAGCCTGGCCCAGAGGCCTCTGCCTGGCCTCCTCGGGGAGCCACTGGGGGGCGCCAGAGCAAGAGGCCAGCTGTGGGTTGGTCTCCAAAAAGATCTAGGCTTGATTAGTGCGTTGCAACTTTCAATCCTACTTCCCAAACCTCCTGGCAAGGAGCGGGGCTGGAGACTTAATTAACCGACAAAGGCTTATGATTTAATCAATTGTGCTTACACAATGGAACTTCTGGGGTTCAGAGAGCTTCCTGGTTGGTGAACACATGAAGATTCTCGGAGGGTGTCCACCTAGAGTGGGCTTGGAAATTTTGTATCCAGTAGCTTGCCCTTGTGAATCTCTTCGATCTGGCTGTTCCTAAATTGTATCCTTTATAATAAACCAGTGATCTAGTAAGTATAGTGCTTTCCTAGGCTCTATGAGCTGTCCTAGCAAATTATTGAACCTGAGAAGGGGGTTGTAGAAACCCGCCATTAATAATAGCTGATTGGTCAGAAGTCCCAGGCAACCTGGGACTTGGGCTGACGTCTGCAGTGAGGGCAGTCTTGCAGGACTGAGCCCTTCACCTATGGGGTCTGTGCCAACTCCAGTTAGACTGTCAGAATTGAACTATAGAGCACCTGGTTGGTGTCTCAAGTTGGAGAATTGGTTGGTGTAGAGGAGAAAAAACCCACACATTTGGCATTAGAAGTGTGAGTAAACAGTTTGGGCAGATCTATCAACCTCTCTGGACCTCCCCTTCTCTATAGATGGGGGCTGCACAGGGCGCACTTGAGTGTTATCTCGTTGTTCATCCCCCAACCACTTCCAACTTCTGCCCTGGGAGATGTTACCTGCACATGAACACACCCATTTCATAGTTCTGGAGGTAGAGACCAGAGCCAGAAGACTTGGCTGATGTCACGAGTAGCTAATTGGCACCCGGTTGTGCCAATTAGTCTCCCAAAGAGCAAAGCTGCCCCCAAAACATGGCTCTTAAGTCTCCTGTGTCAAGACACCCCCATCTCAGCATCAGCCCCCTTCTCACTTCTGAGGCCCCTTCTGAAATGTCTACCTGAAGGTGTCACCAAGTGAGGTTATATGGTTAAAAACCAACCCCAAAGCAGCTCTTGAGACATCAAGAAGTAGGCAGCCAGGGTGACCTGGGGGAAGAGGGAAAGTGTAGACGGTGAGGGGCCCACTCTTTTGATGGCCAAGGGACTGTGGGCACATGGCATTCCTTCTTCGCACCTGTACATCAGGCACAACTCAGCTGTCTTCCCAAGCAGGGCTGGGTACATAGCATTCAACACAAGCCTACCAGCTCTACTTGCCCTGTGTCATGGGCTTCCAATGCTCATGGCCCCCCGAGGACCTCAAATAAGACAGAAGCCCAAGGCCCAGGGTATTTGGCCCACACAATAGCAAAATCCAGGTGAAGCCAGAAAGAGGGCAACCTGGCAGTCATGGATCTGGAAGTGAGAAAGTCAAGGTACAAATATCCCTGTATAGTCTCCTTAAAAGGCTGTGTCACCTCAAACCAGTCACTCAACGTCTCTCTGAACCTTCGTTTCCTCAAAATGGGAGAATAGGATGTTGGGGGGAAGGTGCTTTCCGAAGTACTTGGAAAATCCTGGACTCCCAGTCAGTTCCCTAAAAGGGAGGTTCCACAGAATGTACCCACACCTCCAGAGGCCGACTGCCTAGGTCAGATCCCACCTGGGCCACCTTCCTCCTGGGCCTGAGGCTGTTTCTTCACTCACCAATCAATAATAACACTGAGTATCTACTGTAAGCCAAGCACTGCTCCGTAAACAAAATTTCTTAATCCTCACAACTTTATGTAGCAGGTTTATGATTGTTCTGCCTATTTCACAGACACGGAAACACAAACCCAGAAGGATCAAGTTTCCGTCCTGCCTCGGGCTGGGGCTGTTCTCTTTCCATCTTGCAGTCACTCCTCCCCAAAAGCGGGACCCCTGCAGGCTCGATAGTTCCAAACGCTGGTTGGAGTCTCCAGCTTCCCCGCCCCGCCTGGACATCAGTCGGCCCCGCGCCCAGGCGCGCCTAGATGGCGCTCGCCGAGCACCAGATGTGCGGGGCGCCTCCCAGACGCCGGCTCCCTCTTCTGAGGGAGAAGGGACAGAGGCGAGGGGGGAAGGGAGCGGGCCAGGCCCCGCCCAGCCTATTAGGCCTCGACGAGGGAAGGAGGAGGCGGAGAGCCGAGCTGGCATAAGGAGACTTTACTGAAAACAGAAAACGGGGCGAACCAAAGATTACAAACAGGAATGTGGACTCGTAGCAAAACAAAACAGAAAGAAAAAAAAACCAAAAACAGAAAAAAGGGCGGGAGGAGGGGTGTCGGAAGGACGGAAGGGGGGGAGCGAGGAAAGGGGAGGATTTTTTCTTCTTCCCATTTCTTTAAAAAACCAACAGGAAAACACACACGCACACAACCAACGTTTGTTCCCGAGTAGAAACATAAATAGGGCAGAATCGAACACTGTTCTCTCTTCCAAATGCAAAAAAAAAAAAAAAAGTAAAAGAAAAGGCAACGCAGGGCTTGAGGCTGCGCCCCCTCGGAGCCCCCTTCGGCGGCGGTGCGTACAAAGGAGCGGCCGAGCGCATAAATTTGTGCAACACAGGGTGGCCGCGCGCGGAAAACAGAGGCAGCGCAAGGGCGGGGGGGTCATGCGCTTGCCCCCCGGGAGCAGGGGGTCCAGCTTGTCGAGTCTGAGGCGCCCTCTCCGAGTCCTGGCACTATCCAGGGGGCGTCCCCGGGGCCGCGCCCTCTCCGAGTCCGGGGCACCCACGTCCGTCCCCCCCCCGCCGCAAGCCCGCCTCTCGGGAGGGGGGGCCGCGCATGCGCCCCGCGCGCAGGCTCAGTACGCGGGCACCTGGTGCTGGGGCAGCAGCTGGCAGCCGCTGTTGACGTGGCTGAGGACCTTCTGCTTGAGCTGCGCCACCTGCTCGCGCAGCAGGCTCGCCGTGGACGCCAGCTCCGTGTTCTGGCTCTTGAGCGTCTTCACTTTCTCCTCGAGGCGCGAGATGCGCTCCAGCTTGCGCTTGCGGCACTTGGAAGCAGCTATGCGGTTGCGCAGCCGCTTGCGCTCTGCCTTGATGCGCTCTTGCGTGTCCATGTCTATAGGCGACAGCGGCGGGCTCTCGCCGAAGCTCGGCACGTCGGGCACCGTCTGCGGCTCATCCTTGAGCGCAGCCAGGCGCGGCGGCCCCAGTGCGCCCGGGGGCGGCGGCGGGAAGGGAACGGGCTCGGCGGCGAAGGCAACCGTCGCAGCGCCCCCTGCGCTCCCGGTGCCGCCCGCGTAGCTGCTCAGGTTCGCGTAGACGGGCGCCTCGGGCGTGGCCGCCGCCGGGGCCAGCTCGCCGGGAGGCGCGGCGCCCGCGGCCGTGCCCGAGGGTCCCCCAGCCGAGGCAGCAGCGGAGGCCGCACCCGCACCCAGCTGGTTCTGCTTGTGCAAATCCTCCAGGGCCTTTACAAAGCCTTCGGCGAACTCCTGCTCTTCGCTAGCCGCCACCTTGGGGTAGAGGAACTGCGTGCTCGTCGGCGTAGTGGTGACCAGCCCGTTGGACTGGATGATGAGGCGCTCGAGTTCGGGCGAGGCGAGCTTGAGCAGCCCCAGGTCCGGCGATGCGAGCAGGCCGTCGGGGGGCGCCGCCCCCGGGGCACCGTCCGTACGCAGGGGGGCTGGGGGCGGTGCGGCTGCGGGCTTGAGCGCCGCCGCCACCTGCTCGCTCAGGCTCAGCGTCAGCGCGTCCTTCTTCATCATGCTGCCGGCCGCTGCCGTCGGGGGCGCCCCGGGGAACAGGCGACCCGGGGACGCGAAGCTGCCACCACCGCCACTGCCACTGACGCCGCCGCCCAGGCCGCTTAGCGCCTCATCGCCGTAGAAGGGTGTTTCCATCCTCCGCCTCCCCCGCCGCGCCGGCCCGGGGGGGAGGGGAGTGGCCGCGGCCTCCCGAAGGGCCCGCGCCCCCCCCCGTACGCTCGGCCCTACGCCCGCCCCGGCCGCGGCCGCTGCGCCCGGCCCTCCGCTGGCGGCGGCTCCTGCGCCGCGTAGCCCGCGCGCCCTCTTATAGCCTCGGCCCGACGCGATGAGCTCACTGGCCCCGCTCGCCATTGGGTGCGGGTGACGTCGCTCATTTACATGGAGGGGCGGGGCCAAGCCACCGACGCCCCCCCAGCTGCTGTTACCTCGGTGACGCGCGGTAAACGGCACAACAGCGCGCAGCCTTGTGGGTTGACGTCATGGGGGCGGGCCGCGCTCAGGGGCCGGGTCACCCCAGCCTCCCGAGAGTTGGGTACGACTAAGGCCTCCAGCGCCGCCTCCCGCCAAGGCACGTCCCGGGTGGCGTGATGGGCCCGGCCACCAGGCGCCCGCCCCAAGGCTCCGCCCTCCGTCCGCGCGTGGGGCCCGGCGGGCAGACCGGCCCCCACGAACTGGGGCGGGTGGATGGGCCCGGATGGATAAATAACTCCCTGGCGCCTACCGCTTCACTGCGCCGACGGTGCCTCCCTCAGCGCGCCTAGGCCAGGCTTTGTGCGCTCTAGGAGCCGAAGGCTTGGGGGAACGGTGCCTTGTGGTTACCTGGGGGTGTGGACCATGTCTACCTTCATCCACCCCCACCCGAATGTCCAGTGGTGTGTTTGCCCCCAGAAAGACGGGGGAGGGGAGAAGAGGGCTGCCAGAAGTTACTGGGAGCGTTTTGATCCTGATACTTTTCACAGGGTGCGGTCTAAAGCTCCTGACTTTACTGACGCGAAACTGAGGCTGGGCGAGTGACCTTTACGCGGTGCCAGGGCTGTGACAAGGCCTGAGCTCTTATCCACCCAGTAGAACCCGACGTCCATGCCTCCGGGCAGCTGCCTACTTTTTAACTCTGCCAGGGCCTGCTGTGGGTCCCCCGGTGAGGGTGCTCAACTCTAGGCACCCTCCCCCACCCCCGCAGTTTCTTCCTTAGCCCCTGGTTGGGCTGTTAAGGCAGGAATACCAGCTAGTAATTATTACCTACTTATTACTATTATCGTGACTGTCAGGGCTTAATGGGCTGCCATAAAGGCCGGCTGGGGATGGGATGTGAGGGAGGAGGGAGGGGCCAATCGCCCTAACACTCCCAAGGGATCCTTGGGACATCCGGGTCTGACCAAAAGCCCCTGCACACATGGCTCCCACTACACTCAGGATGGAGCCCACTCCTCATGCAGGTATTGGAGGTCCCACCTCCTCCCCTGACACTCTGATCTTTCACCTCATCCTCTCTGAGCCTCGGCTTCTCAGCTCCTTGCTGCCCCAGGGCCTTTGCATTTGCTGTGCCCTCTGCCTGGTGATCCCTTGACCCAGTGCAAATGGGTGTCCTCAGAGAGGCCCCCTCCCACTCACTTTGTTCCCATTATATCCTTGGAACTATCCAGAATGATGGGGTGGATCATAAGTGCCCAGAAGGCAGGGAGCTTGTCTATCACGGGCTTGGTGGGTATTCAGCTCCCTGCACAGAGCCTAGCATACTGTGGATGTGGAGTGTTGAAGAAGAACACAGCCTGGCCCTGTTTCCTGTGGCTGTCTCTGGCCTCAGTCTGTGTGACTGCCTGTGGGCAAGAGCACCACCACCCCCTCCCAGCTCCCTTCCTCACCTGGCCCTGCCCCTAAATGGGCTCTGGAGCAAGAAGGCAATGAAGGAAGCTGTGGCCATGAGCAAGAGGCCTGGCCTGGTCTGACAGGCAGAGGGCTGGGTGTATGGGTGTGTGTCTGTGTACACACAATTGTCTATGTGTTCATGTGTGAAGCAGGATACCCATGTGTATATGTACGTGTCTGTTTGTGTGTCTCCAGGCACATGGGTCTCTGTACCCTGAAGACCTGTTCTCTTAAGTCCCAGCCTGGGCAAAGGGACCCCTGTGGAAGAGAGTACAGCCCCAGTCCTTAACCAGCCCTGCCCTGGGACCCCTCTCTCGGGTGAGATTGAAGGGAAGGGGGCCATGCTTTTCCCCAAGGCAAGAGGGTGGGTGGCAGCCTAGAGAGGCTCCACCTTGATCTTGGGCCTTAACGTTGATAGGTGGGTGAATGGTGAACTGTGGGCAGAGCCAGCATGAGCTGAAAGACTGACCAGCAGACAGGCCTTGGAAAATGGAGGCACAGGGAGGCCAAGGCAGGTTACCTCTCTGAATCTCAGTTTCCTCCCCATGAAAGTAGAGCAAATAATCCTACCTACCTCATGGAGTATTGTAATTTTTATTGGATTTGCAGAAATAATATGATCTCAATAAATGTTCTCTATCATAGTTTTACTTTATTATTATTCAGCCACACTTAACTGCAGTTCTTTGACCTGGAGTTCCCTCAGCCTGGAGTGTCTTTTTTTAGCCTTCAGGCAAACTCCTACTCATCCTTCAAAACCCACTTCCAATGTTTCCTCCTCTAAGAAGCCTTCCTTAACCATGCCCCTGGGGATTCCCCTAGACCCCCTCCAACTGGCTGAGCACTGTTCATCATTTGTGTCTGGCTCTATATGCCCCAGACAGGGAAGGGAAAGGTCCTTGGGGCTGGGTGGAAAGGACCTGTCTTGGCCTCTAAGTGTGGGACGCTGCCTTTGATAGACTTTGCCAGCTCCATTCTAAGGCCTGACCCCCTCAGGCTCTTCTGCTTGCACTTACTATTATTCCCTCTGACCCAATGCCCTTCCTTACCCTCTCCTTCCTCCTAGTGAGGGAGCCCTCTGGGACACCCTCATCCTGCGCCTCCATTTGTACCAGCCCTGACCCCACAGAGCAGAGGAGGGGGGAGTATGTTCAGATCTGTCTGTGAGACTGGGGGATTCTCAGGCAAGTCAAGTGGGCCCTAAATCCATCAACCAGCCAGCCCCATGTAGTGAACTAGGAATAACTCCCATTCATTCATTCCACATATTAATATATTGCACCTACTGTGAGCCAAGTGATGGGCACACATAAATGACACAAACATCCCACCTTGCCAGCACAAGATCTGAAAGAGGAAGGTGACAAACAGCTTTAAGGAGAATAATGCCTCTTCCATGGAGCATAAAGGGGGGTGTTTTAGAGTTGGGTAATTTGGGAGGAGCACCCCAAGAGGTGATGCTGAATGAAGCTGGAGCAAATCAGGAGATAATTCGAGGGCAGAGTGTCCCATACAGTGGGAACAGCAAGTGCCAAGGCCCTGGGCAGAAGCCAGCTGGCCACATTGATGGAGGGCAGAGGCAGGTGGGTCTAGATTGAGGGAGCCAGGGAGAGACAGAGGAGAAGGAAAGCAAGGATAGCAGGGCCTCCACCCAAACCAGGGTGGGTGGTATTTGTTCCAAGGACAGTGGGGTTGAGGGAGGAGTCAATGATAGGGCTTGCCCAGGACTGCATTTTCACCTTTATTCTCCCAGCCGCTCCCGGAGTCTCAGAACCTTAGTCCACTTCCAAAGCAGCATCTAGAGGGGGCATGCGATCTGCCAGGGGTCACACAGCCCAGGCCTGACCAGAACTTGGCCCAGTCCCCAACCCCACCTTCCCAAGAGATGCTGAACCTGACGCCCGTCCGACCCCCCCATTTCCCGCCAGGGTTCAAATCCCTGTTGCTCTCGCCTCTCACCAGCACGAGATCTGCTTTCTTGTTTAAAGTAACCTGCAATTTGGTTTAATGTTTAGTCTTTATTTGAAGACTCAGAGACCTAAAATCTACTGGGTAAAACGGAAAGCCCCAAAGACAGAGAAAAAAGGAGTTAAGCAGGAAACAGAAAGGGGTGAAGCCCAGGGGCCTCCCAGGGGTGACGCTTGCCAGGGATGGTCCCCCGTGATCAGGACCCCACGGGGCTGGGTGCGGCTTGTAGGGACAGTCCTCTGGAGCTTATGTCTGGGCTGGCGGGGACCCAGGTGGCAGGACCCAGCGGAGCGGCCAGGGAAGGGACGACAGCCTCGGGCAGGGGGCATGTCTGGCCCCAGCGCATTCCTGGGGATCCGGTTACTGCCGAAGACTGCTGCCCCTCCCTCCCCTCCTGCCCAGCTTCCGCCCTCGCCTGGAGCAGGACGGGCAGTCAACTCCCTCTTCCAGTGCAGGTGTTTCTCCAGCCGCAGGGAGGGGACCAAGGCCCTGCCCTCTGGGCTGACACCGGCTCTTTCCAGTCTCACAAGACCATTTTGCAATTTCCGCGCCACTGTCAGCCCCCTTCAGCACTGATAGAACCAGGTTGACACCTGGCAGAGCCAGCTTTATGACCAGTGGCCCTGCTGACTGCTCCCTGAGGCTGTGGTGTGCCCCCAACTTCTCACAAACGCCAGGAGAGCCACTTAGTGCACTGTTTGTTGATTGAATGAACAACCATGCAGAGTGAGCCTGAAGCGCTCCAGTAAGGAGAAAACTTCTCATACCAGTCTCCCCCACCCCCCAAGACAGGCAGGGGGTTACTCACGCAGTGTACAATTAATGTGTACTTGCTGTATACCCATGCCCAGATGAGGCCCTTTCATAGGTGGATGTTGAACCAGAGGGTTTGGGGGTCAGAGGGTGGTGAATTAGATTTCACTAGACCAGCTTCAGAAGTTGATTTGGTTTTACTTTGGGCCAACCTCAAACACCATCATTTATCCATTCTACCACTCTCTATTGAGCACCTACTGTGTGCCCTGGCCTGTGTGCTGCTTGAGGGTTTTCAGCCCCACATCACCTCCTGAGCTGATTAGTCTTATGAGAGACAGGAAACAGCCACCATCATAAAGATGCACTATCACTATTTTTCCTTTACTTCATCCCCTTTTCTGTTTTTACTTCAGTAAATATATTTCAAAAGGGAACCTTGGTGTCACCACCAAAATGGAAACTCAGTTTCTCTTGCCATAAATAAAAGGAAACCAAAAAACGATAAAATGAGAGCAAAATGCAGGCATTCCCCGCCACCCCCGCTCCAGGGGACACTTTGAGCCAGGCCTGATCAGGAATGCCCAAATGTCCAGACAGCAGTAAAAGCAGGGAAGCCCCCAAACCAAGCCAAAGGACTGCTGTAGGGACCACGGGGACCCACTTAGCGTTCCTGTCCCTGAGGGCCCCAGCACATAGTTGGTGCTCAATCACTGTGCCCAGCCTCAGTGATAAGCAATTGTTTGGGGTTTGCCTGCATCAGCCCGCACCCTCCCAAGGCTCTGTGGGGTACTGATCCATTTTTGGGGAGTGATGGAGGCAGTGGTGGCAGGCAGTGGCCTTTTGGGGGTGGGACCCCACGGGGCCTCTGTGGGGAGGCTTCAGGTTGATTCAGTTAAGTGGAAGCTCCCACTTCCGCCTCAAAACCTTGGGGCTGCCCCCACCCACAGTCCTGTGGGCCCCTGATGTCCTTCTCCAAAGAGCTGTGGGCCCCTAATGTCCTTCCCGGGCTACCTGGGGATTGGGGAGGAGGTTGTGTGAATCAATGAATACATGGATAAATAATTAAATGAATGGATAAAATAATGGATGAGTTAGTGAAGTAATGAATGAATGAGGGAGTTAATAAATGACCGGCTGCATCCATGCTGCCAAGATTGAAAGCCCAGTTTTGACATTTTTCCTTAAAATCCCACAGCAGCCCCCAAAGAGGGAGACCTGTCCCCAATTTTCTAATACACACACCGAGGCTCTTGAGCAAAGCTTAGTTCCAATCTTGGGAGGTCATATTGGAATCCAGATGCATCTCTGCTGGAGGACGGGGCTCCGAGTGCCTGGATGGTGTAGAGGCAACCTGGAGCAGGACCCTGGGCCTGCCTGCGGGACTTCACGGAAAGGCCCCGGGGCCCAAAGCGAGAATAGACTGAATGGGGGCGCGGCAGGCAGCGGAGGAAACAGGGAAGAGGCGGGGTGGGTTGAGGAGGGGCAGATTCCCAGTCAATCAGGAAGGGGCCCCAAGGAAGGAGCGTTCTTCCCCCCCCCCCCCCCCCCGCAATCCCTGCACGTGAGGCACTTCAACACCAGCCCAATCCCTCTAGCCCGTGCGGGCGGGGAAACCCCTCCCCCTCCGAACCTGAGGCCGCTTCCCTGTACTCCCTAGCGCCCTCCTTGTCTCCCCCATCTCCCCCTTGCCCCCGCCTCTCCAGGGAGGAAGTGGTGAGAATGCGGGGAGGGCCTCCATTCTCACTTCCCCTGGGGCAAGGCGGAGCCTGAGGATCCCCTCCCCCGCCGCGAGAATGGCCCCCTCACAGAGACACACACACACGGGTGGGGGCTGGGGAGCCACGGGAGCGGGGGAGCCCTAAGTTCTCGGGGCTTCTCTGGTTCTCATCTGGAAAATGGGGGAAGAAACTCGACCTTGAAATAGAGAATTATTCCGTAAGAGGACCCCGCCCCAGGCCCGAGGAGCTCCCCCGGGGCGGGGAGACCCAGCCGGACCTGGACACACCCAGCCCTGGAGGGGTCTGGGCTGGGGCAAGGGAGAGATGTCACAGTAAACAGGAGTCCGATGGGGCGGGAGACGCATTCCAGGAGGAGGGAACGCCTCAGGCCAAGGCCTGGAGGCTGGACGGGACCTCCCACCCGGCCTGGTGGCTGGCCCTGCCCGGTACCGTCCCGCGTCGGTCCCCCCAGCCTGGCCTCTGGCGGGGGTGGGGGAGAGGAGGGATCTCGGGGGTCTCGGTTCGGCCGGCCGCAGCGGAAGAGTTAACCCTGCACGGCGGCGGGCCCCGGGGGCGAAGGGGGCGGGTGGCGTCAGCGCCGACGTCAAGGCGAGGCGGGGCCGAGTGGACGCTGACGCTCGGGCCGCGCGGGAGGCCGGGGGTGTGGTGGGTACCGTCCGCCCTCCAGAGTTCCTGACGCTGCGCCCACAAGGGGGAAGCTGAGGCATGGGGAGGGGTGTGGTCCAGTGGGCTGAACCCCGGCCGCCTGACTCCCGCCCGTCCCCCCGGCTCGCCCATGTTTTCCACTCGCCCGTGCCCGTGCCGAGACAGCCCCCAGTGTCGCTCAGCTGGGACCAATTTTTTTTGTTGTTGTCTTGTTTTCCAGGGTGCAGACAAAGCCGCCCAAATAAGTGCTGAGCGGCTCCGAGCTGTGTCCCGGTTAGTTGCCACATCTGCGGGAGCCTCAGTTTCCCCAACCGGACAATGGGAGAGAGCTGACGTTCACTGTAGACGCACGGCTCATGCTTAAGGGATGAGGGGTTCGGGATGGGAGGGGATTCCCATACCGAGGGAACGGGAGGAGAACCGGGGAGCCCAGAAGTGTGAGTGGGGGACCCTGGGAGACGGGATTCGAATCCCCAGCT